TTGCAGCTTTTGACACCTTTTTCTGTGTATGTACCTACATTCAGGATCACATGCACTCAAGAAATACGAGAGAAAACCTGTCCATGATTAACTTCAAAGTGGCCCCATGAAATGCATTGCCTCCACTATCATATTTTCTTCTGCAAGCAGACACATGAAAAGGAAGAACTGCCTATATTTCTTAGTGAAGTGACATTTGTAAGAAATTAATATGTTCAGCACATCTGCCAGGAAAAAAAAATTATACACTGGTCACATAACACTTTTCAGATCCAAAACAGAGACAAGAAACATTAGGTGAATTGCAGCTTGAAAATAATTGCTCTAAAGTTTAATTTATGTTAGTTGGTTAGAGAACTTACACCTGTACATAGAATCATAGAATCATAGGTTAGGGTTGGAAAGGACCTTAAGATCAGGAAAGGACCTTAAGATCATCAAGTTCCAACCCCCCTGCCATGGGCAGGGACACCTCACGCTACCTATGGAGTAGAGGAAATAGAAGATAATTAGCTTTATCAGCATTGTTTGGTTTCATCTGTAGGTCATTATGACGTAGCAGCCTTCCAGTATCTGAAGGGGGCCTATAGGGATGCTGGAGAGGGACTCTTCATTAGAGACTGTAGTGATAGGACAAGGGGTAACGGGTTAAAACTTAAACAGGGGAAGTTTAGATTGGATATAAGGAGGAAATTCTTTCCTGTTAGGGTGGTGAGGCACTGGAATAGGTTGCCCAGGGAGGTTGTGAATGCTCCATCCCTGGCAGTGTTCAAGGCCAGGTCGGACGAGGCCTTGGGTGATATGATTTAGTGTAAGGTGTCCCTGCCCATGGCAGGGGGGTTGGAACTAGATGATCTTAAGGTCCTTTCCAACCCTAACTATTCTATGATTCTATGACTACATAAACCCTACACTATTAATATTATATACCACAACTTCTTTAGGACACCAGTGAATCTGAAAAAAAAAAAAAAAATTATGAAAAACTGCTGACTAAACTCAACTATAAACAATACCGGACTCTCCCATTAGCTTGAAGTACTTCATTGCCTTTTAACTCCACTCTGTAGCATTTTGTTCCGGAGTCAACACCTTACTCATTAACGGGATGCCTTCAAAGTGTAATGCTAATGTCTTCCTAGCATCATTACTTCCCTCTGCTAGAGAACACCATATCATGAAAAGCTCACTTCACGGAGCAAGCAACGATTCCCTCATCTTCCACATACAATTGAGAATGTATTTAAAGTACAATACTGCCTTTTTAATCTCAAACATTATTCTTGTCATTAGCAATTTTCATTTCCAAAACCTGCTTTTGACACAGTCACCACAAAAGTGAACTAAAGAAAATCTTGATCTAGAGATTAGTTACATAATTCTGAAAAAAAGTCATCACATACACATTTTGTAGGTCTAATGAAACATGCGTATCACTCACTAAAGTTCAAGACTGTATACAAGTAAGATAGTCCAGCGACAGATTTACGTACTGCCATGAAAAAAATGATGTTAATTGTTGGTAAGGTTCACTGGGCAGTAAATAACTGGTCTGCTGATTTGCAGATTATGCAGATTGAACAGTTTCATATGTGAGAGCAGATGCAGGCCCCTTACTTTTTTTTCCTTTTTTCTTTATTGTGTTGTACTTAAAATCTAAAAGCTGTTGCTCTTGCAAAAGCCCTCTTCCATTTTTTAGCCTTCTAGACCACTGCTTCCAGATTGCTATCTGACTATAAATCTTAACACTTTTCATCCCTACTCATTTTATTCTAATCTGAGTTCAGAGTTGCCTTCTCCAAGTAGAAATTCTTCACAGACTTACTGCGACTAGCTTTGGAGAAAACCAATTTGTGAGTTACTTCACCTACTGCATCCATCAGCTCTGTTGCCCTCCAAACATACCTAACACTTGAAAAATGGCTTACCTTTGCAAAGGCAATAACGGTGCTCAAAAGTGCTCAAATATGATAAATGGGAAACATGTATGCAAAACTGCACTTATAATGATGTTGTCATATAACCAATATTCAGAAATTACGTCATTTTTGAGAGTCTCATTACACAATAAATGGTAGCATGTTTAAACAGGCAGAAATGAGACTTTTGGTACCATACTTGCAATGTTGCTCTGACCTTTATGCATGTGCCAGATCGTTAGATAATGGAAAGGGGAGAAATAGATAAGCCCTACCTCAATTAATCCTAATTAGCCACCACATTTACAAAGGCCACACAGCATGTGAAATTCCTGAAAACAATTTCATTCTTAAAAGAATTATATATATAGTAGCTTCAGGTCCTACTGGAAAATACAAACACCCAAAGTAATCCTTTTTCAGTAGGTCATTTCTTTGCCACAGATTCTGCTCTCTGCTGCTAAGAACTACTTAAAACAACTTGAAGGAAACTATTGAAAGCTCTCAAAGAAGTAGAAAGAAACCAAAACTCCAAATATGTTCTTCAGCACATTGCTTGCAACAAAGTATTTGGGTTTGAATTCCTTAATTTATGTGAGATGCTAGAAACATATGACTGCAGTACATTTTGATGACATGGCTGCTTCTTGGAACTCAGTAGTCAGTCCCTGAATTTTACTGGATTCTTCCTTCCTAAAAATACACAGGCCTTTTTCTCAGTATCAAATGTAGAAAACTGATTGCTTAACTTTCTCTTGGAAGACTTTAACTGGCTCTCACCATCTAAACTGAAAAATAATAGCTTCGGTTGATCAGATATCCAAGAATCTCAAGTTTTACACTGGCTTAACTGAGATTAGAATTTGATCTATTAAAGTGATTTGTTGAGACATGCTGTGTGCTGTGTGAAAGAAAAAAGCTCAACAAGATGAAACTTCGTAAGGCTGTTTGCGAATTACCAGCTGTGGTGGTACCATCTAGTGGCTAGCTCCTACCCTTTTGCACACTTCTACAGGCCTGCAAGCTCACAAACTGCTTGGCAAAGCTGTATTTGCAGGGGTAATTTGAAGAAAGTATCAGAGAGCAGACTGTCTGTCAGAGTGGAGAGACAGCATTAAAGGTAAGAAAGGTATCTTGAAGGAGAGACTGAGCGATCTAAGCTCCCTGTAAACATTCCTGTTACCTTGTAATTAACAGCACTGCTCCAAAGCTGTGTAGGACAGCCCCTGCAGCGTCAGAGACGGGAGGAGTGGAAGGAGGACGCAGTTTCTAGTAATGGGAGTTCATTCATCAAAGTCCTTTCCTCCCTACTCAGCTGTCTGCCTTTTCTCACCACAGCTAGACCTTACTAGAGCTGACCTTACAGCAACACCCCCCAAAAAACATTTTAGATTAAGAGACCGATATTCAACATCTACCATTACAGTACCAATATCAGGTATTACCAGGGTATTTATTTCACCATGCAATTTTTACCTTTTTTACTTTGTGGCTGCCATGTTTTCTTCCTCTCACCCCCAAGTCTTACAGATCCCTTTCTCCTCAAAGCTGCCTTATAACCTCTCAACCTTTTGCTACTGCTGTTTCCTTGGTCTCCTGAAGAAATCAGAAGATTTTTGTCAGTGAAAATTTTATGCTGCCTCTCCATTTTTGCTCCTTACTATTTGGAAACTACTGGTCAAGAGCATAATCAGCAGTATGATGAAATGGCTAAATGATCAGGGATGTAAGTCCCAGTGATTAGGGATCTTTGCTGGTTCTCTTACTTTTTATAACATTTCAGACAAGATGTTTTTTCTGAAAGTTGCTTTTTTTTTCAGGAAATGGAATATACTTAAGGATAGGCTACACCTTTATATACTATTAACCAGTTTGTAAAATTCTATTTAAAAAATTAGAATTATGAAAATTGGACTTTCAGAATTGCTCAAGTATTTATCTTGGAAGCCACAGATCATTTCTTTCCTATAATAAAGCAACAAAACCCACTGTAATAGCACTATTTGACAGATTAAAGTGAGATTCTGAAGACCCAAGCTTGCCACAGCAGAATAAACCATGCCTGCTCACAGAGATGTCAGTGTCCTCCAACAGAAGCAGGAATGCAAGCTCTGGACTTGCAAATTGCATAAAGCCAGGTCTGAGCAAACTGATTTGGTTACTGCTACAGGCCTACATATCGTAATACAAGCTTCCCTGTAAGACAGTTTATTATCATTAAGCGAGACATTCTTGCAGCTGTCAGTGTAGCTAGGCAGCATCTGCTACCAGAGAAGTCCATTCAGGTGTATCTGTAGTGCTCCACCATTCCCAGGATAAACATTCATTTGGTGTGAAAACCTGAAGCTGGCTGTTGTTCTGAAGCTTCACATGTCACAGCAAGAGACATTTGGCCAAATGCCTCTTGATCTACATAAGAGTCATCCTCATGTAAAACACCTAAGTAGACAGGTTTCTAATTGACTTCATGGGATTAGGAGGAGAGTCATAATCCCATCAAACTACCTGGAAATGGTCATTTATGGTAGGAATAGACTGAGTTTCTTATATCATCTGTTTAATCTTCTAAGGATTTAGATGTGGTGTGTTCTGCTTTCTCAGTTACATCAGCTAGAAATCTGGTCAAGTTTTAACCTGAGGGCAAATTACCAGAAAATATTTCATTTTCTTCCTAGCTTTCTCATTTAGTAGGTATAGTTTTCCTTATTTAATTCTAAATGGAAATATATAGCACTTTTCATTTCTGTAATTAGCAGATGACTAATATTTGAACACTAAATCCTCAAAAATGTGGTATATCTTAATAATCTTTTTTGATCAACAGTGTGCAAGAGTATATTTTTTTCATAGGGAGGTGGAGCAATTACATGATTGATTTTTTAACTGCCTTTGAAAAAACTCAGTTTCATTAGTTATATTCAGCAAATTTAAGAGGCTATGAGAATCTCTGTCAGCAGATGAAATTCAAACTGTTTCAATATGTCCTAGTTTATGTAGGCTTTTTTGTTTTCACTAATTTTAAAATTAGTCTAAAAGGGCAAACAACTGCAAACACTACAGAACACAACTTGTCTTGTTCAGAGCCGTGCCTCTCTCACTCTACAGGAATACAGGATTTCAAGCTTTGAGCAGAGGCTGATGAATGAAATAGAATTTCGCCTTGAACGAACCCCCGTGGATGAATCAGACGATGAAGTCCAACACGAGGAAATCCCTACAGGCAAATACATAGCACCAATATTTGATAAGAGACTTAAGCACTTTCGGGTAATGGAAGGATCTCCGATTACATTCACTTGCAAAATAGTTGGAATACCTGTTCCCAAGGTAGGTCATTCTCACTGTTAGCGGTAAAGGAGTAAAAATGCTATTTTCTATACATCCCTCTGGAAAGCCTCATTCCTAAGAACATGGATCTCTGGAAAGAGCTCTAAAACAAATAATATATTATTTATTTTAGAAAGTAGTGACTTTCTAAAATAAAAATATGTTCTTCTGAGCATGTATCAGGCCTTGATGCAATGTATGGACTGCCTCACAAGTTTCTGACTACAGGTAGCAAGTGTTAAGTCGCTGGGGGTTGTCTGATCACTACAGGTATACTGGTTCAAGGATGGCAAGCAGATTTCAAAGAAAAACACGCATTTCAAAATGAACAGAGAAGAAGACGGAACATGTTCTTTACATATTGAAGCTTCCACTAATGATGATGATGGCAACTATACAATTATGGCTGCAAACCCACAAGTAAGGTGTTTGAATTTCCACTACAAAAATTCTTGTTTCATCTTTTTCTAATATATGTTAAAAGGAACAGAGATTGGGCCACCTAGTCTGACACTGAGTGGTGACTATCAAAAATCAAATTGCTTCAGAGGTTAAGAGAGGAAACCATGTAATGAAGAATGATGAAACTACTGCCCTATTCTTACACATCCCAGTCACAAATCATTAAGGATATTTTTTCACATTAGTAACTCCTGTCCTACCTTCTGACCCCACCATCCCTGCTGCTGACAGCTACCTTTTGAGATGTGGTGAGAAGACAGACATATATCAGGCAGAAAGAATAGAGCAAGAGGAAACAAAGAGTTACATCAAATTCGGAAGTGTTACTAAACACAACTATTCTATTCTTAGGATGCAAAAATGTGGATCTGCAAATAGTCTCATACCCCAATACCATTCTCCTTCACCCCATGTGTTAACTTGTTTATTTAGCAGTACACTCAAGTAGATCAGGCAACTTGTTCCAGTTTGAATTTTTCCTTTTTTTAAAAATTATATTTCAGCCCAACTACTTTCCAGTTTCTGTGTGACTGCACAAACATGTATGCTAGTCCCTGTGGAGAGACAGTGGCAGGAACGAACAAGGAGGGACAGACACTGCTCAGGCTGGCTTACATAGCACCACTGCTAAATACATTGCCATAGCCTTGCAGAGCCTGAGAAACACACTGCTCTAGATACACAAAGAAACCCTTGCCTAACTTGCATTCCACCACATAATAGCATTTGCTTTGAAAAAGTAATATTTATACTATAATTCAGCTACTTTATAAAATAAATCCTATTCCATTGTAAATGATAGATAAATATTTATACATTACACAAAATAAGCTATTAACCAACTATTAATCCTGTTTCCATTGTAATTTGTAGGGGAGAATCAGTTGTTCAGGCCACTTGATGGTTCAGAGTATCCCTGTTCGGTGCCGAATATCAACAGCTCAGCCTCACAGGTAAAAAAAGACAAGTCCTTCAGACCCTCTTTATGCTTCTTACTGAAGGTGTTCAAAATAACTAGCTACTGTACCTTAATGCACTCTTACTTCAGTTCTCAATGATAAAATGGAAGTAACAGTGACCCAAAAGTTCACTTGTAGAATGTAGTATTTTTGAAGGTCATCTTCAAATACAGGAAAGCTTAAGTGTAAAGCATTATTTTATTTAACTGTTGCAGTAAAGGCAAGGGATGGATTAGCAAGATGAAATTTAGCTAAAAGAAGGCAAAAAGGAATGAAGGATAGACTGGGAATCCAATGATAACTACATGATGTAGTTAATTTGGTAATCTTTCTAAGTGGAAAATATGCAAGTATTAAATTTCAATCAGTCCATTTCTTTCTACCCTTTTATTTAACTCTATCTGTTCATCCTTTTTGACAATTTCTTCCTCTTTTTAAGCATTAGGAAAAAACTTTGCCTTCCAAACATATACATGCAATTTTTGTGTTGCAGAACACGATCTCGGGTGCAAGAAGGAGACAAAGAGGCAGTTCAAGAACGCTTTTTCAGGCCATACTTTCTACAGGCTCCAGGTGACATGGTAGCACATGAAGGTCGACTTTGTAGGTTGGATTGTAAGGTATTTCATCTGCTAATTCTTACTTTCTCTACCTGTGTACATGGATTGCTAGGTATTTTCATGTTTTTTAATGCATGTGTGAACACCTCCTGTTAAAGTTTTAATGCTACATTTAAAAAAATTATTTCTTATTGCCATTGTATCTGAGATGATTCATGGTATTTCTTTTCAACACATGCTATACGGAATGAAGAACATAGAAAATACAACCCCAGAAACAGAAGTCTTACTTACAAGGTTGTTCAAATTACTAGACATGTGCACTGTGCCCTTTACCAGTCTGAACTCTGCTCCATTATCAGATTCTTGAACATAATCCAGAACAGCACAAAACCATGAGAAACAGAGGATTCAGCATGTTGCATTCTGTTCAAACAAATGTTTCCATTGTATTGGACTGAATTAGTGAAGGTTAATATTCCCTGAAAAGAGGGAACAGGGCCCAGTTAATTTTATGCTTCCCTGGCATGCACAGATGCAGAAAGATCCCCATTTACAGATTCAAATCCTGACCTGAGAGAGTTGTCAGAGGCTACAGTACATGCAGGAAATATCCTGTTGTTGAAAGCTTTAAGAAAGTCATCTGCTCCAATGTATTTTAGTAGTACTTCTATGTCCCACTAGTGCAGCAAAGGTGGTAGTGCTGACACTGACCTCTTCCACACTCCAGAATGTCTCTTACCCTGAAGAGGGTAGAAGCTCTGAAGCACAAGTTAATGTCCTGAAGATGAACAGGATTCATTACTACTAATTTACAATGAAAAGCTTACTAGGGAGCATGCCAAAGAATTTTGTTATTCTTAGCTCTGCTATCCTCGCAGAGCTTATGAAGCCTTTAAAGCATGTCTGGTATTGCACAAACCTAGAAGACAGCAGTCCTCGTTCAGGCAAGTTCCACTTCCCTCTTTCTCTGGTTTGTAGAATATTGTTTGGAAAGCAGTATTTTAGACATGAGTAAGTACTTCTATCGATTGGAAAGATCTTTAAGAGATAATACAGCCTAATAAGCTTTCTAAGAGATATTTAATCTGTAGTGTTTTAAAGCATGTAAGCCTAGCAGCTACAAAGAACTATATCATTCTTCATCAAATTTATGAAACAAAGTAATTTGTGTAAAACACTTCATCTCTATTAAACTCTGAAGTGGTTTAGATCCAGGGGTTTTATACTCAGCATTACAAAAAAAAAAAACAAACAGAAAACTAGCAGATTACTAGGAGTCTTTTGTGACTCTGATATATAACCAAGTATCTTCCTTTCCGACTAAGAAAAAGGTAGGCATTTCATGTATTTTTTGCTTATTTTCTGGATTTCTCCCTTTTGGAACTAATCAGCAGAAAACAGAAGCTGAGAAATTAAAAAAACCCTAACCAAACAAACCCCAGTCTTTCTGTTCTAGACCTTGACATCATTCAGATAGCATCTGAAAAAAAAGAAAAAAAAAGGCTTACCTACTGTTTTGACTCATTTTGACATTTGTCTTTGTCTGTTTCACTGTCCGTTAGGTTAGTGGATTACCAACTCCAGACCTAACGTGGCTTCTGAACGGCAAACCTGTACTACCAGATGGCACCCATAAGATGCTGGTCAGAGAGACTGGAGTCCACTCTCTTCTTATTGATCCTCTCTCACAAAATGATGCTGGAACTTATACTTGCCTTGCCACTAATAAAACAGGACAAAATTCATTTAGTCTGGAGCTCACTGTTGTAGGTAAGAATCATTGAAAAAATAGTCATAATGATGAAGTTATTTGTGCATATTTCTTCAAATGTACCTTGCTTAGTTTCCCTACAGAGAAGTATAAATAAATAGTTAATCCACTGAGATCAGGAGTTCAAGAGTTATGAAACTCATCTGATAGAAGGAAACAGACCTGGTGCTCAGTCAATAGATGCACTCCTGTTATTAACAGACGGTTGTAATTCTGTCTCATCATCACTTTACCTCTTCTCTTGGCAAAATGACAAAATTCTCCCCAGAAAGTGCATAGGGTTTAAGTTCATAATATATGTTGAGGTCTCCTAGGTTTCAGTCCCAATTTTATTACTTTAAAAATGTTTTTAAATAGAAAAATACAAATCTGAATACTATTCTTTAGTAAAGCCTTACAAGATGTGAGATATTGAAATTCATATATCTGACATTAGTTTCCTGCAATGGTAGTATGTTTAGACCCATCAGATATGCATACATTCTTTTATGAACATCAGTTCTGCCTATTATTTTCTTTATGGTCCCTTACAGAGGCTATGTCATGGCATTTCATTCTCCTTCCAATATCCCATTAAAAATTCACAACCTATTTTGATATCATGAGAATAATTTTTGGTCATGTTCTTCCATACTGTTCTAAAGTGAAACAAACAATAAAGTATCTGTTGTTCAATAATTCTTTTTACTTTTCCAGCAAAGGAAGTGAAAAAAGCCCCCATGTTTTTGGAGAAGCTTCAGAACTGTGGTATTCCTGAAGGGTACCCTGTCAGATTAGAGTGCAGAGTTGTGGGAATGCCACCCCCCATATTTTACTGGAAGAAGGATAATGAGACCATCCCATCAAACAGAGAGAGGATGAGGTACTGCACCATCATACCCATGCTTGGAGTTTCTTGTGTCTGGACTAACTGTTTCCTTGAAGACCTGTGTTATAAGTACTGGTGGTGGTGTTCTTAAAACAACTTCTTTCACCCACAAAAAGTTTTAAAAGCTGGCTTCACTGTGAGGTGAACAATACCTACTTCCTTGATTGAGAATAAAGGCATGGAGCATAATTTGCCACTCATTTGGAAAGTGGTGATAGACTTTTCAGGCCATAGGCCTGACACAGCATATGCAGCTTCTTATTAAAGATACTATGATAGGGTGTTTTAAGGCATTTTAGCAACTTATTCTTTCTCTCAACTATTTTTTCCTCAGTTTAGTTCTATGAATGAATTCAAACTCAAAACAGTTAGAACATGGTTGTGAATGCCCCTGAGAATGGAATAATAGAGAGTTTAGCATATCAGATACAGAGGCTGATACCAAAGTTTGGTTACAAACATAGGCAAAGACTTTGATCCCTGCTGACAAAATAGAGCAATGTTTGGGATCAAATCTCTCATTCAAATGCATTGCTATTTTTTAGGTTTTGCAAAAGAAAAGCTGATGAAATAATGCACCTGGCTGTAATTAATGAGAAATTAATTGCTTTCATTTCCTTTTTAAAGATTTCTACTTCAACATAACTCTTATTTTTAACATTTTATTTCACTTGGCTTCAACTAATGACTGGATTTTGAGTCACTGGATCTCTGAGATCAGCTTCAAGTAGTACTATATTTTTACATGCATATTCTGCAGGCTTTCTGTAAAGAAATCTGGTTCCGCAGCAGCACTTGTTATGAATGCACACCTATCACAAGGTGTATTTCAAGCTTACTTGAAAATCCTTCAGTGGTCTCCCTGTGCCCATTCAGAGATTACTGCCCCTCTGCAAAAAGTCCACCTGACCCTGATCTTCTACAGCCTGTAGCCTATTCCTCTGCCTCTAAGCATATTACTCAAGGATATATTTCAAATAGTGGTACTTTCACAGGAATTATGGTTATACACATTGGAAACACTGTAGTTAAAAGCCTCATTTCCAGTTCTTTCACAGAAAGAAATTAAATATATATTTATTAGAATATATATATTAGAAAATGAGTTTTTGCTTCAGCTTAGCAGAGAAATATCTAAGGGAAACCTCCCACACCTCACAAAGCTAGGAGATAACATCAGGTTTGTAACAACTCTGGTATTTTGGCCAGTCATGACCAGACTGCCTGCCCCCAAAGGCTTCAAGTGCTTTTGCACAGGTCCGTGTGAGTGATGGCCAGCATTGTCCTTGTTTGTTCCTAACTTGGCTCACTATTATTTTCCTGCCTAAAGCTGAGAAACCTCTTTTGTATCATGGTGTGGACATGCATAAGCTTCTATACTAGTACACCCTCAGCATAAGGCAAATTATGTAGTGCAGAGAGCAAATGGTGAATGTTCCCTTTTTCATCAGGGCTACTTGGTTTGCTTTTTCATTCTAGTTCATAAGAAAAGAAAACCTCAAATTTCAGAATTTCCTGCCACTTTTTGATGTACTCATCTCCCAGCTCTTCCTTAATAATGAGGGAACCACTTGGGTTAATAATAAGGACCAACCGCAGCCTATCGAGCAGATGAGCCTCAGTTCTCTGATATACTACCAAACAGTTTTTCCTGGAAACTGCAGCCAGGAAGTCTGAGATCACTGAAGAGCAAAAGAAGAGGAGGGAATAATGAAGCAGGTTTATTTTAGAGCGTTGGCCAAACAAATCTAGGATTTTGCCACTCAGTCATTTTTTCATGGAAAAGGGTGCCATGAGAAAGTTTATGAGTGGCTCTGGTTATTGTTGTGAAGAATATCACAACTTTCTAGAAATGTTCTTGGTATTTTGTTACATTATTCTTCTAGCTTCTAAACTAGGAAAAAATACAATATGACTTCACAGCAGCTTTGCATGGGTTTAGTTCATTGAGTTCAATAAGAAGTTCCAATATTAAAATATACAGAGTAACAATTTAGTTCACACTGTCACAGGATGGCTTTGCGCAACTGGGAGGAGGAAGAATAAATTTCAGTTACTCTTGTCATTGGCTGAGGCTATACTGAAAACAAATCTACTGGCTAAAAATGTTTTGGAATGCTACCTCTCTGAGCATAGAAGCTGTCACCTATCTATATATATATATATTTAACGTACATATTGTAAAATCTCGAAGTTGCTTATGTTCTTGAGAAATACTAATTCCAAAACAACTACTTTCCCAGCATGCATCAAGATACAACAGGCTATGTCTGCCTCCTCATTCAACCTGCCAAGAAAGCAGATGCTGGCTGGTATACCTTGTCTGCAAAAAACGAAGCTGGTATTGTCTCTTGTACTGCTAGACTTGACATATACGGTAGGTATTGGCTAGTAAATCAAACAAATCAGAATTTATTTTCTTTGACTGGTTCCACTTCTCATCTAGTTCTTAGTCTGTAAATTGCTGGTTTTGACAGGGATTAGAAATTAGTGTCACAGAATGACCACAGATTAATATGGTTATCAGGATGCATAATGGTACAGCTAAATGGCCAAATTAGCTCTCCCGCATCAGTTTAAAGCAGGTAAAAATAAAAGTAAAACAAAAAACCAACCAAAACCAACACCAACAGAGGAAGCATTTTGCACAATATTTTCTACTCCCATTTTCTACCTTCCAAATTCCCTAGACACTTAAAAATATAATAAACATGTTCAAGTTGCATCTTAGCTCTGTTCCCTTTGGCACATGCTGTGCTACAGCTCTGACCTGAGATGGAACAATAAATTGCACACAAGACAGTAGACCCCTTCTTCTATGGAGCATGTATGATGCAAACTATGCCTAATTAATGAAGGCTAGTTTGCATCTAATGTTTGTTTAGTACTCAGGAGGCCACAGCCCAGTTCAAGAACTACAGCACATTACTTAATTACGCTATATCTATGCAAAATGTAATAGTTTAGACAATTTACCTAGACCAAAAGAGTACTTTGATCACTTAAACGGCATAATAAAACATAAAACCTATTCTCCAGACTTTTGGATTATAACTATAACCTCAAAGCAGAAAAAAAAATCAAACCCAAACAAAACATGTTTTCAACCTTACATTTCTTATTTAAAAAAAACCACAAAACAACCGTATCTCAATTATCAGAGAGAACCACAAATCACCAGAGCACCTCTGTCAGTTTTCTGCCACCTTGTGGTGATATAGCCAATAGTAATGTAATGCTCAAGAGAGGGCTAGCGAGAGCCTGAGTCAGGAGAGGCCACATAAAATGAAAAATAATTCTTTAGGTATCTAAATGTTGCAAGTCATAAATTAAATTTTCATACGAAGAATTCAAGGTAGAAACAGGAAAAGGATGGCAAGTATGAAATGCTTCCTGTTTCCAACCATATTTTCCAATGGTTCTACAAGCCTTATACACCAAAAGGAGTTATGGAAATAATTTTTCTTTGTGCTATTTTGAATGGATGGGGTTGGGGGATTGAAAGACTGGTCTGATATTTGCAATTCCATGTGCAACGAGAAAGTACAGTAAATAATGAGTGCACTGTTTACACAGAAACAAACTGGGGGCTGCAAGATAAAAGGAGGCTCTTTTTCAAGTATTTCCAGATAGACAAGGTTAAAATTCAGCAAGGAAAGACATTTCCTATTAATGCTTCAGAAGCAGATTGTGTGTCTCAAGAACTAAGTTATTCTTGGAGTTTTATTCTTGTACTACCCCTTTATTTCAATTGCTCACAGATATGTTTGTCCCATTTGTGTGCAGACATGGAGGATTTGTATGGATAAATACCAGCAATGATAATATCAATTTCCCCTTCTGAAGTGTTTTAAGAATTGTAACTATTACATATTATATAGTAGCTAGATATTCATACAAAATTGTAACAGTCTTTGTTCATATGGGAACATGCTGAATGTCACTTTCAAATTGCTGAAGGTGTTTGGATTACACTTCTTTCAGTATCTTTAAAAAAATCTGGGAAACTTGTTACTAGTCGTAAGTAGTAGAGGGAAATAAAAATTGTAATCACTTCTTTAAATAAAATCCCTATATTACTACTTTGAAATTAAATACCACCAAAAAAACCACAACCAAACAACCAAACAAACAAAAAAAACCACCCAACCAAAAAAAAAAAAAAAAAAAAAATCAAGGAGAAAAATCCCCCGAAGGACAGAGTAGCACAAAATCAAAAATCAAAAATCAAACCCATGTCCAGTCTGTTCATCTCTCTTCATGCTATGGTACGGTTTTAGTTATGATTGCAAGAGCTTTGGAGAAGGCTCCAAAGAATAAATGATTGAATTTTGGACTTAGTAAAATCCATGTAACGATTACCACTGAACTGAAATGGATGAAATTCCATCTGTGGACTTCAACAAAAATACTCAACATATAAACTATATGAATATTTTAAGAAAGCAAGCTTAAAACAGGGAGCTGCAATGCTGTGCTCTGTCCAAGGATGTTGAAATCAGCTTTCAGTTGTGTGCACTGATTTCTGTTGTTTCATTGCTAACTTAATGAGAGGTTTATACAGTCTATTCTGTTTCTGTTGCTTCAGCTCAGTGGCATCATCAAATTCCACAACCAATAAAGCTTCGACCTGGTGGCAGCCGGTATGCAAGCCTTACGGGTCAAGGACTTGACATTTTTTCTGCCTTCCCAACTACTGAAAGCCCTATGCTGCTTTCATCACCAACCCAAAAGTTGGTGGAGAGTGAAGAACTTTGAAAAACAACTGTTCCAGTTACACCTGCAGAGATATTAGAATGTGGGGGGTGGGGTTGGAAGGGAAGGGGTAACAAACCCAAACAGAAAAAAAAAAGCCCAAACCAAAAAAGACGTACAAGTCAAGATGCTCAACGTTTACAAGCAACTTGTTTGTAATTAAGTGTACTGCTGCAACAAATGTTGCAAGTAACAGATCATACAAGACTTTTACATATTATTTTACTGCAGGATAATTGTGGTATGGAGTGTCGTGCAATAAATTCAGTACTGTGTAGTTTGCTAAGAATTACATAGTAAACATAGTTTTCAGCACCTAAAAGCCAATACCACTTTTACTGCTTGAATTAAAGCTACTGTACTGTAGCATGCCATGTTAAGGATTGATGATTAGCTGGAGTACTGCCAGTGAAAACATTGACAATTACAACAACAATAATCCTGAATGAGCGTATACAACAAGACTTTGAATGTAATGCTAAAAAATATGCCAGATAATCACAAAGCACAAGTTACAGGGAAAAGATGTAACTCATTTTTATATATTAATATACCAATAATCTTTGAATTTTTGAACTCTAGATATAGTGTTTAATGTAGGTGCAGCTGTATACTCTATATATTTATATGTGTGTGTGTGTGTGTGTGTGTATTCCATGAACTGTACTCACGGTGTAAGGATTCATAAATTAAGGGACCGGGCACATGCATAGGATGCTAACATAGGAAACCAAAATTCCTGTTGTCTGAAGCATGTTCTCAGGAGCCCATAGCTGAAACTGTTTTCCAGATGTGCTTCATATTTTTTCTTTGAAATGTTAATGATTTTCTGACTTCAAACACAGATGATATGAAGTTTGTAGCTTTGTGGGTTTAAAATACCATTTAATACCATTTTAAAAAATACCTTTTTTCCTCATTTTTAACATGACTAAATTAAAAATGCATCTGCCATCTAGCTCATTTTTTAACTAACTGAAAAGGAAATACGATCTGGTGGAATTTAAATTTTCATCATCGTTATGGAAATTACCACAAATGTGCTGCCTTCTATAAAGAGAAAATTCTGTTAATATACAAAAGTTATGAAGTTAAGCAACAGTTATGTGCAAAGAGCTAAAAACCCTATTATAACTGATCATAGTAATAAATAAGGCAATTTATTGAAAGGGCAACAGAAGGTGTTAAGTGACAACACTTAATGATTGATACAAGCATATTTAGCATCTACACACTTGCGTTAATACCTCCCAGGACTTAGAATCCGTGAATGTCTAAGATTATTTCCTGCACCTTTAAATTACTGCTGTCCCTCTTCTTTGGACATTGTTTTCAAGCAATTCTTGCTTACCGCTTTCACCATGGCTAGAGAATGCAGTGAAGTCCTGATTAAAGTCACAGGGAGTACAAGAAAAATTAACAGGTAGTTTCATTTTAGACCTCATCTGCGTTTTTTCAAATAAAAAATATAACTTTAAAAAAATCACATATGCAAAGAAAATAATGAGTTCTCTTTAGAGCAAAAGGATACTGGATACAGGCAGAGACTGAGAAAGAGATAGTCCTTTATTGGGTTTCCTACAAATACAGCTTATGTTGGTTCCAAATGCTGGTTCCCTAAGGGTTTGGAGGAAGTTAATTTCTCATTTGTTCCTACCTGAGTGAAGACCATAAAACAAAACCATCATTATAATGTTCATGCTTTTGTTACAAACCACAGACGAGTCACCCCAGACCAAACAGACCACAAAACTCAAATCCATTCTTATCCTGGGAAATAAACCAATGTGCAGATATTTCAGCGGGAAAGCAGAAACACCAGTTGTTGCCTGTGTTGTACCTCCTCCCTGGCAAACAAGATAAAACTAATCGCTATTAAAAGTTCTGCATTGATTCAAGTGATTTCAGTTACAGGGTGCCCAATTTAAGACACATTGTGGGTCTGATTTTCTAGGCTAAAGAACCTACTGCTCCTCTACCTTCAGTTGTTTTTAGGATGACTTAGGGATTCCAAAACCAAACCTAGACTGAGTCAGAGTTGGACAACCCAAAATTTGAAGTGTCCCATATTAGTAACTATTCCTGTGAAAATAATACAAGGTAAGTCACTGAGTTTTGCTTGTTTAATCCAGTGCTGTTGGGAAGTAGAAAGTAGAAGATCAAATTCTACTCCCATGTACAGACCTGGTCTCCCCCTTATTTCATGCCAGAACTGAAAAGTACATTTTGATCCAACGTATTCCAGGCTGTGTATCAGCCATCAGGCTTTACACCTAGCACAGGCTTAGTCAAAGGATTGTCTGCTTAGAACTCCCCTGTGGCTCCCTTGCCTAACCTGGAGTGAGAGGTCGGACAAGATGACCTCCAGAGGTTTCTTCAGACCTATATCACTCTGTACTTTCTAATTTATTTTACTTTCCACTGCCTCTCTGACTACTCTATGTGGATTAAATTACCTATTGACTGAGTAGAAACTAAGAATTCAAGTAAGTACAACCTTTTCCTTTTTAACTGGGATATACCCTGTGAGGCAATTCTAGCTACAAGAGTGATCACTTTAATCAGAGTTCTTTACATAGTTTAGAAAAAAAGAAATACTATTAGCAAATAACTGGTTACCAGTACTGGAATCATACTTTTTAATATTACTGACATTAATTAATAAATTAATACTGACTTTTTAATATTACTGGTTCTCCCACTTTACAAAGTCAGACACCCCCCCCAAAAAACTCAGTACAAATTAAAAGACAAAGTGCGCAGAGAAAATATGTAAACCACATCTCTTCAACCTTTTCTCTGTGATTTCAGTGGAATGTTCCCAAACTTACATCATTATAACCTGAACTGACAAGATGAGGATGAAGTGGTACAGTGCTTTTTTAAAATATACATTCAGTTCTTTGGAAGTTGGAGGACAAAGTCCAGTGTTGAAAGATTTTTCAAAAACATCTGTGTAACAAGGATTAATCCTTAGTCATTCAGGAAGAGGCCCCAGAAGTTTCCCTGAGAGGTAGGCTACAGAGTGCGGATCACCAAAATTCATCAGCTGAACTATATTATCCCCTTGACAGTATTTACTAGCAAAAGGATCAAAACTTTACCCATCACACCTCCCTACATAATGCAGAAGTCAGTAATCTCAATTACTTTCAGTGCGCCTGATGCAAACAAAATCATAGCCCGACTCCAAATGTTCTGTAGTAATTTTGCATGTTAACTGCTACAGGACATTTCTCCTCTGCGTATACTGAGCCCATAAAAGGTGTATGTAAAGGAAGCTGATGTGGATGGATGTAAATACTGTTAATTAGTAGTATTGATGTCCTCATCACAAAGACAACTTGCTGGAAAAGGACAAAAAAATTATGGTGATGCTGCTAACTGATGGAAAAGCCATGGGAAAAAGGCTTGTGTAAGCAGCAGAGACAACACTGAGCTGTCACAAAACATGCGATGCTGTCTGAGATCATGTCCTGTGGAGGATGGCACTGTCTTATCACTTCAGATTTGTAACTGTGCTCCCTTTCTGAACAGCTTGGCTGTTCATTGTTTTTGTTTAACTGAATAACTGATTTGACTTCACTCTTGCATGGTATTTCATTCTCTTATTCAGGGCAGGCTACTGCAACAAGAAAAATTAATGTTAGAACTTCCACTGAAGTCAGTGTTAGCTATATTCTTCCAAAAGTCCATTAAATCACCACAATGCGGAGCATAATGTTCTATCAGTAAGATACAGAAATGCCCAGGTTTGTAACCTCTCAGTGTTTTCTCAATCAGTGCCCTTTGTTTCCTGTTTCCTTCTAGTCCTGGTTTTACATAGAGAGACACAGTATATTTCAAAGAAGAGTAGAAATGACTTTTGTATTGCAGTTCTAGAAAGCAGAAGTATTATCTTTGCTTTAAAATTCTGGTCCAGCTTGGTGCAGACCCAGTGCTCAGCAGCACCACACAGCAGTTTGCACTGACGTTGTTGGACTTCCTGGCTTAAAATAGCTGGATTGAATTCCTTGCTTCCATATGGAAGGTGGAGCACACCTTCCGAATGCCTCACATGTACTAACATGAGAAGATGAGAGCACACACTTCAAATATGAAAAGCCAAGTCTCCAGTTTTTATCCTACTATGTAAACAATTGCCAATCCCAACTGTTTACAGTAATCAGAGTTACTTCAAAGCAATAGATCTGGCATAAGAATTCCTTTAAGAACTGTGTTCTTAATGCTACCAGGTTTAAAAGTGTTTCTGGAAAATGCCTTCATAAGACTTTATTAGCAAGACCTACATTTTAACTGTTAAATATTTGAGAAGTGATTCATTGTAATTGCCTTACTATTTACAATACAAAGATGTTCACTTTGAGCCTTAAAATTCTACTTTATATTTTTTTCTTTACTAAGGTTGTTATTTTATTTTTTTTATTTGGTCCAACTGCATTCTCACTGGGAAGGAAAATGTTAATGTCAGTTTTAAAGTATATTTTAAGTGCATATGAAAGGAAAAAACAAATACTTGCCTGTTCAGTTATGTATTTCCCTTCGTCTCACCTAAACTTCAATAAATGCTTCAGAGTTGCATACAAGACTGTGCTCTTCACGTGCTCAAATAATTTTGACAGTGTGCAATAAGATCAGACGTATCCTCAGAACTTTTCTGTGACAGCTGATTAATGGGAACAGGCCTTACAATATTTAATAGAAAAAATAAAATACTGTCAAGTTATACAAAAGCTATGCTTCCAGAAGGTAGTTATGAAATGCCGTTGTTGGGGTTTTGATCAATTCTTCATATCAATTCACTTTGGTTTTAAATTATACTTTCTTTTTCTGATAACCTCAGCTACATCTCCATGGGTTAAAGCAGCTACTACACATTTTACGATTTCCTCTAAGTGACACAAGCTGCTTTTAGTAATGCCTTTATACTTCAAGTCCGCTATAAAGAACTACTTATTGCATAATACAAAGAAATCGTGGGCTGTATGTTCTGTGAATTTAAGTGGAGTTCTCCATTTACACCAGTGGGAAATTCTGTTCAGAAACTGACCATCCTTTAGGATCACACAGTCCATTAGCAGCAGGCAACACAGCTTTGCAAAGAAATGGAAAAATACTGAAGACATTCTGAAATCTTGGAAAAAACAGCAGGAAGCCATTCAAAAATGAACTTCTTACTCCTTGGAGTTACATATCCAGATTTTTTAAGCAAACTCTGTGTATGATATATTTTGTATGCTAGTTTCTGTACAAATGAAAGCTGAAGTACAAACCAGGAAAAAAAAAAAATAGACAATATTAAAATGTACTCTTTGGTAGAAAATATATTTAAATATTATACATTTTTTTTTAAGCCATGTTTTCTTGATATGTAGTTAAAGTTACAAACATAAGGCATGTTTTTAAACGTGTCCAAGTACGAGGTCAAATCAATATTTCTTACAAGATACCTGTGTAGAGGAAACACTGGACAGCTTCTCCAATGAATAAACATGTCTACTCTCTGTACATTTTTTTTTCCTGAATATTCTGTAGAGATAGAACAGCTGAACATAATTAGAGAAAACAGATGCTGTTCTGTAAATTCTTACTGGATTAAAAAAAAAGGAAAAAAAAAAACTTAGATAAATTTCACTCCTAAATTACAGCAAACTGCATCCATGTCGCTTAGCTCAAGTAGCTGAAAACCTAACCTAAGACCGCTTACCTGAAGGAAAAAGCTTACTTTGGAAAATCAAAAATCTGACTGAAAATTGTATTATTCTTTGTGCCTAGTGAATCACATTACACTACAGGAGTTCCACAAAGGTTTCACCACAGAAGTTTTACTTAAGAAGGTATAGGAAACTTCATTAAAAAAATCTAATGATACTCATGCTTGCCTACATGAAGCAGTTGTAATGTCATTGACTTTCAAGAGTATAACCAGGGTTAGCAGCATTTTTACTTTTTAGAATTTGTACTGCAGCACTATTTAACAATTCCAGTCCAAAACTGAGCTTTGCCCTGTATGTGTGTATAGTACAAGATGGTCTGTGCCCTAAATACCTTATAAATGGTGAAATGGGAAATAGAAGCCTGAAATTGGAATTAATTGAAGTTGTAAGATATGCTGCTAATATATACTCACTGATGACTTCAATACTTAGGAAGAAACCACTGTCTTTTCATTACGAACATACATCTGAGGAATGTGCTATCCTAGTTCTGCTCTCAGCCACTGAAAAGTCACTGCAGTTAAAAATGTCACTCTAGTTTTGAGGTCAAAAATAACTCTGGTCACCTTGTCAGAATAGGGTGATATAATTCAAAGAAGCACAGAAGCAGAGTATCCATAGCTACTTCAAATAGAAACCCCTGCAGTCTGAACCTTCTAGAAGAATAAAGTTTAATTTCCCACAAATAGCCCATTAGAATTTCACACTGGATTTCAATAGTAAAACGTGTATGTGTGCAGTATGCAACAAATATTTAATGAAGCAAGCATTTCACATCCCCACTGTTTTCACAATAACGTAGGTTTAGAATTACAATGTACTGATACCACAAATAGAAGTATTTTGGGTTTGCACTGCTGTTCAGTGGGACAAAAGTCACAAGCAGACAAACTCAGTCACTAAGAACACACCCAGCTCTGAGCATCTAAGCTTTTTCTTCATTTGGAGGGTCACTGGCAGCCATAATTATTTAAGAGGAGGGGGCTTCAAACGCCTATACCAGTAAAGTCCAGTATAGACAGTCACAGCCCTTATTCCCCACAAACAGCCAGTGGGGAACATATTTGAGAGGAATAATCAAACCCAAATTAAACTTAAACAGTCAAATTTAAATTTCACAAAGTGTCATTAAGGAATTTGTAAAGGAAAGCTATGAAAATGAACCTATGATTTCCTGAACAGTTGTGGTTTAGAAGTCCAAAACAGCATGGATAGTTTCTGCTTTTCAGACTGCCTTCAGAAAGAATTTTTTATGTTTAAACTTCATCCTCACCCCAATTCACTCCCCAAAAGGCTTTGACAAGTCATCAATAGACAGAGAGCTGTCTATACACTACAAAGAACTACTCTGCTGTCTTCAGTATGACAGCAAATTGGAAATCCCAACATCTAGCTCAACACCGCACCCTCCCAAGAAACAAAAAAACCTACAGCATTATATAAAAGCACTATTTTCCCACTAGTAATATTACTAATTATTATCAATAGAGATCAATAAAAAATTCACATTCCATTAGCACAATCAAATCTAAGAGAAAAGGCATTATAATCTTACCATATTATTAAACACCAGAAACTGATGCGATGACCTGATTTGCAAGTGTTCACAAGCTTATGTACTGCAGTGGAGTGCTTTTTAGGACTTCGGCTTCAATTCTTAATAATTTTTGGTAATATGGCCACAAATATTTTACGATTTGTATTGGTTTGTTCCTTTTTATGCGAATTTACTATCATTCATCCAACCATTCACTACATACTAAACCATTATTTTTATATCTATCATCATATGCAGTACATAGTAAATTACAACACTGCATGGAAGAAACGCAATCTGAAAAGAAATTTATATTAGGTACTTCTCTGTAGATTACATATAAACTGCATTGTCATGTCCCACAGAATCGGAATTATACAACACTAGTGCAGAAATGCACCAGTACCATTCTTGCACACTATTCTGGTATTTATAGCTTTGTATCGTATTACCCTTCCACCTAAAGTTTAAAAGGCTATCTTTCACTAAGCTAAGTCTTCCATGTCATATAATTGCACAATTTATTTGCGTCATATTCTCATTTCAGGACAGAAAAGCCACTACTATGCTAGCAGTGCAGGTGAGAATGTCTCGCAGCTAATGTTTACAGCTAATAATCTACTGTAATACAGCACATCATCTAATTATTTAAGGATTGCATTAATTATTATTACAGATATAAACTTGCCCTTTAGTGATGAGTAAAATTCAAACAGTATCAAGTTGGCTACATGGTGGACAGCAACTAATTCTATTCTCCATATATATAAACGTAAGCGAAGAAATCAGTGAATAACATGACTTCATATTCCCAGAAGCCTAAATCCACTTTCTGTTGGCTGGTAAAGATCTAATGTAATTCCTAAGAAGAAAAAAGCACACACTTAAATAATCAGTACTATCCATTACCTTTTGAGAGGCTAAAGTATATGTTAAAAACATTCCTGAATTCCAGTGTTTAAAGGAGAGAGTTGCTCAGAATATATAGTGCCTCTTGTGTATGTGTTTAATCTAGCCTGAAATGCTGTCCCAGCAGCTTTCACTCCAGGAACAGTCCAACTCCCTCCCCAGGAAAAGCATGAGTCTGCAATACAGTGACCAAGCGCAAAATAAGGGTTCTGAGAGAAGACAGACAGGAAGATCAGATCTTTGCATGCAACTGTTCCTCCAGCAGAGTCCCTCTCCCCCAAAACAGGGCTTTGTTTCTATTAATGCTTTTGTTTTTCGCTGAAAGCTGCTCAGTTGTTGAAAGTAACTCATATCAAAGCCATTCGTTTGTCATTTGGAAGAATTCTAAAACATGAGACATGGCAGCAGCCAGCAGGGAACCTGCCAGGCTTCCCTGCTGGAAACCCACCAACGGACAGCTGTTCTGGGACGGCATCTTTTTCTCCTTCTCCCTCATGGCTAACACTAGCGAGGGCTTGTTTCTGGGAACTCCCTACAGCAACACCAGCACAAATACTTTTCAGCCTCATAGTCTGCCACCATCATACCAGCCATTGGCAGCTGAACTTCTGCAGACTCTGCATCATGCTGCAAACACGTCTGCTTCTCCAGCAATCTTGTGTCTATTCAGTTTTTGATCTTCCCCACCCCCTTTTCTACCCAGATCCCTCTATACTCTACAAGTGAAAGAAGCAAACAAACAAAAGGCTATACAGGACATCACCAGTGCTGAAATGTACTCAACTGCTTTGCAAGAATGCTCTATAACATTTTACCACTTTTATCTTTAAAGACTATTTTTCAGAGGGTACATAAAACACACTAACTGGGAAGCAAGCATCATTTCCTACTGGATATCCTTCTCCACTACCTAGTAGATCCTTTAATAAACTACAAGGACTGTGACAGAAGTAGTAAAACATTTGTGGTAGGAAATCCACTAGTAATTCCTTAGAGCAGGAATTTCAGGCAGTTGGTGAGGACATAGCATAGAAAACACTTTATTTATGACTTACAAACTCTGTTACCATTACTAGATAACATAAAATTAGAAAACAAAATCCAAACATTTAAAGTCTACAAAAATCTAGAGGTTTAGGTTATTTTCACATGAGCATTCTCATTTATGGTATATAATAACATGGGCTTTTACAGCCACTGAAAACAAAAACATCCCTTCTATGACTTGCAAATAGCTCTTTTTTGAGCATACAAGAGACACCATTAATTAGATTAAAGCAAATCTACACAAACTTGGAACCCATATGTCAAACTTACAAAGTTTAAGAAGGTTAGTTCTCTGAGGACTAGAACCCCAATACATCATCAAATTTTTCTCATGGGAGCCATTTATGTGAAAACAAACCAAAGAGTAACTGACAGGAAAGCTGACAGGAAAATAAAAACATGTAATGAAGTTAATTTCCGATGTTATTCCATTCCATTACACCACGGGCCAATCCAGCCCATGATTTGTAGAAAATACTGTCATGATTCACCACAGTAGAAAAAAAAAAAAATCCACCAAAAATTTACTAAATAAAATAATTAAATGAACTAGAGGAACTAGAAAACAACCATCAAAAGGATTTCAAATTAAAAGTATGCTTTCCACCAGGATTAAATAAATTCAATCTTCTTTAAATGCATTTTGATTTAAAGTTCTCAAACAAATTTATTGTCAAATTAGTATAAGATGCAAACAAGAATAAGCTACTATAATGCCAGTATTACCTTATTCAAGCAGATTAACTCTTGCTAATTATTAAATTACACATCTGCCCTGCTGTATGTTCTTAGTTCAAAAAAAGTTCTAATTAGCTATTTGAAAGTGTTAAGGGTGATAACCAAATATTCGCTGTGCATATGGATCACTGTCTGTTGCCATTTTTGGTCCCGTGTAATGGTGGTAGCTCTCTGGATGAAAGTGTTCACAGTGAAGGCTAATCCATTCTCTTTCAGTACTGTATCGTTCTGCTTCAGCAAGGATTCTAGTGAGAGCCATGATATAACTCAAAGCCATCTGAAGGGTCTCATACTTGGAGAGCTTCTTATCTTGACCCCACTGTGGAACCACCTTTCTCAAACGATCAAAGGCTGTGTTCAGCCCTTGCATCCGTCTTCTCTCCCTGGCATTGGCAGCCAGTCTTCTCTTTGCAGCACTTTCCATCCTTTCTGAACTGCACTTCACAACACAGCCTGGTCCACTTCTGCACTGGATGTCTGACTCCATGCCTGAATCCAAATGACTGGATTTACAGGTTTTCATATTCAATGCAGCTTCAGTTTCACAGACACAAAGATTACTTTTTAAAAACTGGGTATCTAAAAAGTGGTCGGGAAAGCACTCATGTGTGTAGCCTGCATACCTCTTGAATCGGTTTCCAGATGCCAATGATATGATATTTTTCTTAGCATCTAGTAATAAAAAAGATAAATAAAAGGTCTTCTGGTTCTTCTGAAAATGTCTGAAAATTTCTTCTTATTGTTTAAATAAAGAATAAAGAGTTTTTAATGTCTTGCGCTTTCATTCTTTTAATTTCTTTAAACTCACAGAGATAGAAAACAATGAAATGTCCATTCTCAAAATGTATGTTACTGAAGAAAATGGTCCATTTAATCCAAAAAGGATCTTAACAGATTAAAGACATTTCAATTCCAAATGACCATTTGAAATGAAAGAAGTCCTGATTCAGTTTAGAAGAGTATTACAAAATGATGAACTGTTGCGATCTGAAGACGTAACTTCGTAACAGAAATCTCTCCTTTCTTGACTCCTGCTGGCAAGCAATGATTGTGTCTTACAGACAAGATGCGGCTTTATAGAAACTGCAAAAGCTAAACAGGTGGTAGCAGGTGGGCGGGCGGCACTCTGCTTCCATCTCAGTACCTTCCCACCCTGGGAACTACAGGGGGAAAAAAAAACCAAACCAGTAAAATCCGAACATCACAGCCTTCAGCTGTTGAGAAGTCTTCCAAAGCCAGTCTGTCCAGCCCTAACAACTTGCCATCTGGAGTAGTGTCTGGCTGGCCCCACAAGACCCTGGGCAGTTAAGCAAAAGATCCTTTCAATGGATAATCTGTTGCAGCCCAGGGAAAAAAGAAAAATCTCTGTGCATTGTAGTATTTATATTTCAAAATGTGAAAATTCTACTTAGTATTAAGGGTAGAAGAAATACCTATTCTAATGAAACAGAAGAGAATTAGCTTAATGGTATATGGCCAGGAATACTACCGGCTTGCATTACACAGTACCAAAGTAAGTAGACTCTCTTTATCAGAAACACTTCAGAGCCCTTCAGAATTTTAATATTGTCTAAAGTATGCAACACTGCAGAGAGACTAGTATCTTGAGGAGAATGGGCATTATGTATTTGCCTGTCAGCAAATCTAATGTCATTAAAATAATTTAAATATATTTAAACAGTTAAGATTGAGTTACGAATTTATGTAATAATGACTGTAAAAACATTTAGATAGGTCATGATACAGACATACACAGAAACATGTAATTATACAAATTATACAAAAACTGTCCTGTTTAATACACCTTATTAAAGTAAGTACATGTATTTTACTGGGGGTGGGGGGGTGGGAAGTGTCTTTTTAGTAATATCCCTAAATAAGTAAATGCAATAAAAGAGCATGTGAAGAAATCTGTCTGCTGGCAGTAAGGGATCATTTCTGCTATCAGTTGTAATGATAGAGAAGCCACCAGACATACACTCACAACTCATAATCAAAACGTATTTCTTTTACAGTACTTGTATTAATAAAACCATTATCTACATAAACTTACAAGGAAGCATCATTTTATTATATACACAAAAGGTAAAAAAAAGCAAAAAACAACCCTGCCATGCAATGATTTATTATCTGTATTGATTTCAAACTTAATTAAATTGTTACCAGCATTCATAAATTAGTAACTTTTTTCAATAGAGACTGAATACTGTATATTTATTTAGAACTATAGCTCAATTGTTTTCCTTATGACCCCAGAACTTGGTGTAGTTGTAAACAGCTGATTAATCCCTAGCAAAAGCAATGACAATGAAATGAGGTTGAATAATCCAAAAACAATAGGATGCAATTGAACACTAATGGACTCCAGCACAACAGATGTTGAATGTAGACTGTTACGCCCAGTTGCTCTGCTCTTAATATTCTGAATCCTAATGGTCTTGAACAGACAGTATAGTTGGGGTAGGGAGTCTCCATTATTCCATTATCAAAATGTTTGCCACATCTTCAACTTTTAAAGAACTATAACTGCATCATGTTTCATTATAAATGCAACATTCCTTGCTGTGTGCATTGACCTGTTCTCCTAAACATAAAGAACTACTACCATGCCTTAAAATGCTACTTTCTGAATGACAATTTCTGATCATTTGTGTGTGAGAGTTGAGAACAGCACCATTCAGAAAAAAAACCACATAACCATATGTCTTTTACAGAAGGATCAGCAATTAGAACATGTGAGGTATTTCTTTTCTGAAAATGTTTCATGGGAAATATGGCATGTGCAGTCTAAAAAAAAAAAATACACCTCTGATCTTCATGCTATTGCCATAGCATATTTTACTGTTAGAGCCTTCTATGCCCAAGTAAATCTGTTAATTAAATCCTTTGTCTCTTAAAGAAAATCTCAAAGGATTTTTATAAAAATAAACACAATAAAATGAAGATGTTTTGTAAGTTAATAAATATTGTGTGTTTTCATGAGATAGCTATTACTCATTTCAGAGAATTAACCACTCTTAGTGTTAAGAGTGCTGTTAATTTCATACCAGAAATGTGAAATGCACCCCTTTAAAATATCATATGGTATACTATCGTATTTTTTCACTTCTCAGCAGTTTTCCTATTTTTAACTTAATATCTCATGCCAGTATGAATTACAATGAAGACTTCAAACATACTAAAAATCAGTTCTTTAAAACTTTGTATTTTACTCCACTAATGCATAATAATGTAATACACAATGCTGTTAATCTTCCTCTTCCTAATTGATTCACCATCTTTATCATGCTTTGACTAACACACGGATATAATCTCAAGAGAGAAGCTGTGATTTATCGCTCTTACCAAACAAACTGTAACTTTACTTTAAATGATTTACTACCAAATCCCAGGACAAGGACCAAAATCCATCTGGAGTAACAACAGACCTCTAACAGGATTTTACAGCTTATAGATAAAGCTAAAAATTATTCCATGACAGATTAAATGCCTGGTTTTCATTACCTATAATTTTCTTAAGCTTCTGCTTTATGAAAGAGAAATAAGAAAAGTAAATGTTAAGGTCTCATGTACACCAATCGATTTAGTTCATCTGCATAGCCCACCAGCCATATGAAAATAAATTAGCTCAAGCTTTTGGAAAATAAACTGCTTCATTGCTCAGTCAATAATAGAAATGCTATCAGTGAAATTTTCCCAGGTTTCCTCCACCAGGTGTGATTTCCTCTATATTTCAGCTTGTCTCTGTTATTGGTTTTGTAATTCTATTCCCCTCTTCATTTATTTCTAAAATTTCTCAGAGGTCTTATTCTTTTAACCATTTTTCAAATTATTCTCAAAATTGCTGGAAGTTTTCAAAAAGCTATTAATATATTCTGATGTGATATACTTTCTAAATCCCACCATATATTTTCTCATCTTTATTGTACATTAGTAATTTCTCAATAATTTACCTTTACTCTTATTTTATGTCATAACATAATCTCAAGCCAGAAGAACATTAGAATCACCAGAAAGAGTACTTGTGTCTACTCGATTACTCAGATTTCAATCTTTGAATCTCTGATTATGCAGGTACATATTTAGTGTTATTCCATGACCCTTGCAGCATTATTCTTGATTCACATTTTAATTCTAAAGCAATATCTTTAATCAAAATACAATGTTTTTCTCAGAAAAAAACAAGAGTGACAAGCCAGAATGCTCTTTCAGTCATAAGCCAAATTATTTTAGCATTGCTAAGTCACCACTAATACTAGGAAAATAAAGGGTAGTTTCAGTCCATTAAAGAAACAAACTAGTTTCAGGATTTATGACTACATAAATACATACTTTAAAAATTGCCTGCTAGGACAGTTAATAACTCAGATGTGATTATCACAGCACCCACTATGAAGAGCTGGGTTTCTTCCATCTATACTAATATGGAAAGCAAAAATCTTATTACTTCTGTTGGACAAACAATAATTTTAAGAGGAAGTGAAAGTAACATTTCTGGTTATAGTCTAATTTGTCAGTACCTTCTCTAGTTCTTCCAAAAATAACATATATAAGCAGTACGTCAAAGCAAGAATCTTACCTCTTCCTTCCAGCCAGCATTCACTATTTAATCTCAGATAGATCCTTTCTGGAAGTCTCATCAAGACTTCTTACCACCGTAGTTTATACTGAGCAAACGTGAAAGACTGGCATGCTGTATGCTGCTTAATTAAGAGCAGGTGGGTAACTAGCAAACTATGACCACCCTTAAGGGCCCAATTTCTAGTAATATTTGACTCAGCTCACAAGACAGGCTAGAAATCCGTGGTGTGCAGAATAATGGATTTTCCTTCCTTGGTTATTTACACTGTTTTCTATATCACTGCTATAGGACAATTAGAAAACAAAATAATTCACAAGTGAATGCTGTACCCTCAACAGACAGGAAATGTAGACACTGACACTGTTAAGTTGAATAGCAAACTACAGCAGTAAGATGAGTTTACAGTCATTTCACTTAGAGCTTCCCGACTTCATACTGGACACCCTTTTATACAGAGTGCTTAGAACATTTATTTCATTTTCTTCTTAAGTGCGTTTGGGGTGAGCTTTTTCTTTGTAAAAGTTCAACACGTAAGTCTCCCAACCACACTTAAAAGCTCTACTTGCCATACTGCTCTCAAGCTATCACTTCTTCTCAATTTATCCATTTCTCCTTGACAGTCATCCTTTTTTATTCCGTTACCTTTCTTAAGTAGCTTTCCCTCAGATGAGGCGCAAAACGCATAGCCTTCCTCAGTGATCCTGACCAGAACAGCCTTTCAACCTAACTTTGTTTTAAAGTGTGATTTTACAAGAGGTCTGAAACCCAAAAAAAGTAATAAAATAGAAAGCCTTAATTTTATCATGGTACTAGAGGAACATGCTTTGAACATTCAACTGTTTTCAAATGTTTCCCACTTGTATTACATATTGACTATGATTACTATTACATATATGCATATATACACACACAAATATACATGAAACAGCTCATGAAAAGAAGGAAATTTCCACTTAGAATGGTACTGGAAACCACTGCACCACTAAGGCAGCAAAAAAAACCTTTGACACATTATTACAAAGCCAGCAAATTTTCTGAGTATTTCACACCACAAAGGTTCTCATGTGCCAACAAATAAAGTTCTCTACAGAGGTCAATTCCACCTGTGCATGTTCAGTGATCTGCAAAAGCTGGCCTAAAATTTCTCACAAAGAGACCTATAGGCAACACACAGTAGGGGACGCAAACCTGCCACTATCTTCACCGTTCACCATTCAACTAGCATTGTGCAAGGAAGCTTCCATACTGAAATAGTACAGCTTAAATTTAAGGTTTGCTTTACAGCTGCCCTAGCCACCCTGTGCAAAACACTGATCCTCTGTTCATCTTTCAAACATGAATTAACTTGTTTGGCACTAGCTTCAGTAGCACTGGACAGTACAAATTTGTCCACAGCAACCACTTCAAAAAAATTAAAATTACTTGTTAGGCATTACAAAGGCATTTTGGCACAGGCAAGAACAGAATCCCTCCATCTGGATGTAATTCAGTTTCTCTAACCATATTTTATTTTCCTATATACCCAGTTTCAATATAGCTTCAGACTTATTAAAAACACTATCTATGCTATGCACCAATGAACAGATGAGAGAAGGGGATTTAGTTTACCCTCCAGACTCCAGACAAGAATTACTGTTTTTACAGTCTCTGACAGATGTTTTTCTAACTTGTTACGAAAAACCTCTAACAGGGTAACCAGCAACACAAGAGATAAACTTATCTTTTACTATACCAGGCGTTTCAGGATTAGAAAGATGAAGGAGGTGGTTAAGACATATTTCATCAGCTGATTTGACCGAAGGAAGTATAAACTTGGGACTCTTGCATTCAACTCCAGATTCTGGAGTAAGCAGTACTTCAGAGGTTACTCAGTCTTGGTCCTGACTTCCCTCTGTTACAGCCCCTACACTCCCTCTACCCTTTTCATGTCTCGCATCTAATTTTCATCCTGCTGTTCCACACTCCTGTGCATCACAATCACCTCTGTAAAATAAGGGGATCTCTGAGATTCCAGGGAGATAAACTCTCACGCTTCATCTCCTGTGCCACTGTCCTCCAAATACAGTAACTTTGAACCAGACATTTGTTCCCAAGACTGGAGATAGTAACAGCCAAACTCCAGCACATGTGAACTAGGATTCATGTGTTTATTTTTAAAACTTTACAAATGTAACAAAATTTAGTAAGTCCCTGACACAGAAGCAACACCAGTGCTACAAACAAAACAAAA